CTTTTTCGCCCCTTTGAAAAACAGGGGGGGGGGGCCATTTTTTTTCCAGGAAAATTTCCCAAACCCCCTGGGGGTTTGGTGCCCTTAAAAAACAAAGGGAAAAAGGGTCGCTTTTTTTTTTTAAAGCCCGTTTTTTTCCCTTTTCAAGTTAAGGGGGGAAAAACGGGTTTTGGTTTTTTTCCCGGGGAGGCCATTTTTCCCCGGCCAAACCCCAAAAATCAAACCCAAAGGGTTTGCAAAAATGCAAAGGTGGGTTTTTTTTGCACCAAATCCCCCCCCCCCCCCCCCCCCCCGCCCTTGCCGCGTGTCTCTCGGCGTACCCACGTTGCGGTTCATGTGTTGTTCAGACGAGCGCCAACCCGTCCTTGACGTCCGTGTTCGCCAACACCCTCATCGACATCGCCACCGAGGACCGATCGGTCGTGGGAATCACGGCCGCCATGCCAGGTACAGTATGGGCAAATTTCTGTCTTGACGACTAACCCCCTCCCCCCCCCCCCGGAGTCGCCCATCCAGATAACGTTGTGGTTTGGTGGGATGCTTGTTCGTTGCGTCACGGTACATGCAGTGGATGCTGGGTGGTCGATCAGCCGCCGTTTCTCCACCCCCTCGAGGCGCGGCTGTTCGCCCACGTGTACAGAACCGCGCAGCGCGATCTTCTTCATACAGTGCTGACAGAAGTATGTGTTGTTATACGGAGCCTTGTCAAAGCACTTTTGAATCAACACAGAAACCAACAACATTTCCACAGCACGTGCACCACCACAAACAGTAGCAACAACAACGACAACAACAACAACCGCAACGGCTTTTGATCCCAAATAGGCGGTACCGGAATGGACATGTTCGGGAGGAGGTTCCCGAAGCGGACGTACGACGTCGGTATCGCCGAGCAGCACGCAGTCACCTTCGCTGCGGGTATGGCCGTCGAAGGCCTCAAGCCCTTCTGCTGCGTCTACTCCACCTTCATGCAGCGCGCGTACGACCAGGTGAGCAGTTTTCGAAGCACGGGCTTTGATCGTGTTTTTGTTTTTTGGACGGGGGAAGGAGCAAGGCCGGGCGGAAGGGGGCCGGAAGGGGGGGGTTGTAGTTTGCCTGTGGCTGTGGTTTGTGTCTTGCGTTGTTTGTGAGGTCGCGCACACGCCACGTTAGTTGTCATCTCTAGTGCCAAGTACCAGATGTCTGGTACCTGGTATTTGTTCATGGGGTCATGTACACACCGTGGCAGTTGCTGTCTGTATTTCCAACTACCAAAATCTTGTTGCAAATGGCCGACCCTCTACCCCCGTTGCGCGCTACTGCTATACATCTTGTCTTCGCGCTACTCCCCGCCCCCACTTTCGTGCGCAATCTCGTTTCGTTTTTTTAAAGTTTTTGCACGACGTTGTCTTCGAAAAGCTGCCCGTGCATTTTGCATGACCGATCCTCTCTGCCTGCCGTGTGTGATACATCCCTCTCGCGCTGTGCCCTCCGCCCCCACTTTTTCGTGCTGCATATCTCTTTTTTTTTTTTTTTAGGTCATGCACGACGTCGTCGTCCAGAAGCTGCCCGTCAGGATGATCCTCGACCGTGCCGGACTTGTGGGAAACGACGGCCCGACCCACCACGGCAGCTTCGACCTGACCTACCTGGGCACGCTGCCCCACATCGTGATCATGGCCCCCTCCGATGAGATCGAGCTCATGAACATGATCCAGGTCAGAGGAGGCCCCGTGAAGGCGGGAGAAGTTGGGAGGGGGGGGAGGGAAAGAGGCAGCACTGCTGGCCGAGATGTGTACTCTTAGAGGCGCCCCCCCGTCAGAATGTTTCCCTAGCTCTGTGGAATTCCTAACAGCTGGAATTCCTTCTGCTCATGGTCCTTCCCTCCATGCTCGTCCTAGCACATAGCACATAATTAGTTTGCCCCTCCTGCTAAATAGATCCTGCCCGTTCTCGAGCATTTCAGACGACAGATACGGAGCCGCCGCCGCCGCCTCTGTGTCCGGATCCAATCCGGAATGAGCACCAAACCTCCCTCCCCCCCCCCTCCTCTTCTCTCTCGATGCCCACACACGCAGACGGCCTACGCGATCGACGACAAGCCGTCGGTGGTGCGCTACCCTCGAGGAACGGGTTACGGCCTGGAGAAGCTCCGGTCGCTGTTCGGCTACGAGCTGGACGAGATGCCGGCCAAGGGGGAGGAGGTCGAGATCGGGAAGGGGAGGATCGTGCGGCGGCCCCGCGCCACGGCGAGGCAGAAGGCGGTGATCCTGTCCCTGGGGACTCGGCTTGCCCCCTCGCTTGAGGCCGCGATACAGCTGGAGGTGAGCGAGCGCGGTCGTCGCGCCCGGGTGGCGAGTGTTGGGCTTTTGATTTTTGCGATCACGAAGGCACCGCGGGGCCTCTCTTTCTCGCACCCCCCCCCCTCCCCTCCTCCTGGGTGTACGTCTTCCGGAGTCCTGGTTTGTCCTAAGCATAGCGACCCCCGAGTGTGCAAAGGGGGGGGGGGG